CATTTAAAGAATAATTTAAATAAGAACGCCTTCGCAAAGAAAGTACGCAACTACAACACGCTCCTGTATTGCGGGTATTGCATTGACTTTCTGCAGGCGTTTTTAATTTTTTTTTTTTTTTTTTTTTTTTTTTTCTCTCGTCTTGATAAAAATCTCGGCCAAAAAGAAATCTCGTCTCGTGTAACGAGATTTAAAATTTCCCGAAAATTTCCCGAAATTTCGAGACTTGACCATCCCTAGTTTAAAGTGAGTTTCTTATGTTAAGTATGCGATTCAAAAGCTATATGCTTAATCTGTACCATTAATACTTGTGAGTAAAGTGGCGTATGGATTTCACAACCATTATTTTACTAGAGACCGTTGTATTTAACCACAACGGGCTCTGTTGCTAGTTCTCCATAAGAATAAGATGGGGATTTTAAATTTAAATATTTTTGGAATTTTCTCCGTAACCATCAGGTGCACAATAACGCTTCATTATACTAAATTATTTGTTTTTTTAAGCTCTACAAAATGGTTTGGAAATAAATTGTAAAATGTTGTGTTTTTAGGGTCAAAAATGGGAAAAACCTATTTTTACCCCATAAAACCCCCCATAAACCCCCGTTCCCATAGTCCGATCATGCTGGTTCGCAAACTCGTTTGAATAAATGTAGGTTTACACGTTTGTACCAAATTTCATCAAAATTGGATCATTTTTGCTTGAGTTATCGTGCTAATGGACACATATATATATATATATATAAATATATATAAATATATATATATATATATATGAATTTGAACGGATGGTGTTTTTGGCCTCTTAGGGACCTCAAGACGAAAAAATAAATCGGTCCCGGGTCCAGGTCTTACCATGAGTACTACGGTAATAGCTTATTCCCAATATGGGAAATTCGCTAAAAATACAAACATGATGTTTTTGGTTGCATTTATTGTATTGTAAGTACGATAAATGTGGAAGTAGATGGACTTTACATATTTCCTTTGTTAATTTGATAATCTATACTATTTTATATAACAATATCATGGTGTCTATATATATGTGTTATTCAACATAGTACAAACTACTAGGCAGACTACTGGGCTTAAATTTTACAAAATATAACTACTATACCAAGAATGGTAATACAGTAGGACTAACTTATTGCCACTTCAATATTTGTAGAGACTGGGATTTGTAAAGACTAATATCTAACAATTTGTTCAAATAAAATTTTCAGAATATCACATCCACTTTGGTCGATTTCCTCTCCATTTAAAAGATATTGGCAACAATCTAAGTGATCTCCAAATTTATAGTGGTGAGAAAATACTGAATTAGATATATTTTTGTTAAACTTTGTACAACTAAATCTAGACTTCTACCGGACCGATTTTGTTAATTAATGGGTCGTTGGAAAGCCTAATTCGTGTAGATTTGCAAATAATTATGAAAGTTTGATTTTATTACATATTTGAGGTAAAACAATAAAAATAAACGATATTACATTTAAAACGCCTTTTTTCCCAAGTTTATATTTCCAAGTTAATATTTTGTAGCCAACTTTAGGCTGCCTTTATTGAGTATTTCCCAGAAATACATAATAGTAATTTGTAGGAAATTTCATTCTCTATCAGAATATTACCTTCCACTTTGGTCGATTTCCTCACCATTTAAAAGTTAGTTGCAAAAACGTTAAGCAACCTCCCAATTTATAATGGTGAGAAAATGCTGAGCTAAAGATTTTTTACAATTAAATCTACAGTTCTACTGAACTGATTTTATTAATTAATAGGTCATTGGAAAGCCTAATTCGTGTAGAATTGCAAATAGTTATGAAAGTTAGATTTTTTTATTTACTAGGTGAATCCCGTCAAAGTCTTACAGTTGCTGTTGAGGTTGCAAGCAAGGCCGTTTGACTATAAATCAACGATAAAGAACTCCTTTTTTTGATAAATTTGGGTCGTTCGTGATTCAGCAGTGTGCTTTAGGTATGTCCGATCTTAATAATCAATAATTCAAAGGGAAGCTGGTATTTCACTGAAGGTTCTTAGGTCAAAACAAATAGAATAACGTAATTAGAATTGAGTAAATATATCTAAAACAAAATTCCAATCAAAGATATAATTAAATTTATGTTTTCTGATTGAGCGATTCAGGATATCTTTAACTCAACTGATTAAAACTATCAATATCTCAAGTGAAAGCCTTTGAAGTATTGTAAGACCAAGACATATAAAATAACTTAAATAAAATTTGAGTTACGTATCATTGATTGCAGATAAGTAGCTTACCTAAACGATTATAATAATTATTGTTGATTCGTGATTCAGCAGTGTGCTTTAGGTAGGATTTTAAGATTTGAATCTTAATAATCAATAGCTCAAATGAAAGCTGATATTTCACTAAAGGTTTTTAGACCAAAATATATAAGGTAATGTAAATAGAACTGCTGGAATACATCTTTAATTGAAGTAAAAAAAAAATATATATATATATTTTTTCTTTGAGTAATACATTAGATAAATTAATTATGATGCTTGATGACAAATATATGCTTGCATAGCTTTATTTTAAGACCAAAATTATGAAAATCAAGCTGGTAGAAGAGCCAAACGAAATAAAAAAAAAACAAATTTAACTCCCATAAGGAATGTACAGGGACCCATTTTGTGCATAACTCGAAATATACGTCAAAATGAATGCTGATGATTGATGGCAAATATGTTGTGCGTCCATACCTTTGGTTTAAGGCCAAAATTATGAAAATCGGTCGGGTAGAAGACCTTTAATCCGACTCGGAAAAGAAAAACCAATAATTTTTATAGATGGCAATAATTGTTTTACCAGTATGCATAATCTAAACATACGAAACATGTGTTAATAAACAGCTTATTGTTATATTGTTATTTAATTGATTTTTCTTTGATTAAATGTTGTTGTTCACAATTTGCATTTGTGTTTAAAGTGAGTTCCTTATGTTAAGTATGCGATTCAAAAGCTATATGCTTAATCTGTACCATTAATACTTGTGAGTAAAGTGGCGTATGGATTTCACAACCATTATTTTACTAGAGACCGTTGTATTTAACCACAACGGGCTCTGTTGCTAGTTCTCCATAAGAATAAGATGGGGATTTTAAATTTAAATATTTTTGGAATTTTCTCCGTAACCATCAGGTGCACAATAACGCTTCATTATACTAAATTATTTGTTTTTTTAAGCTCTACAAAATGGTTTGGAAATAAATTGTAAAATGTTGTGTTTTTAGGGTCAAAAATGGGAAAAACCTATTTTTACCCCATAAAACCCCCCATAAACCCCCGTTCCCATAGTCCGATCATGCTGGTTCGCAAACTCGTTTGAATAAATGTAGGTTTACACGTTTGTACCAAATTTCATCAAAATTGGATCATTTTTGCTTGAGTTATCGTGCTAATGGACACATATATATATATATATATATAAATATATATAAATATATATATATATATATATATATGAATTTGAACGGATGGTGTTTTTGGCCTCTTAGGGACCTCAAGACGAAAAAATAAATCGGTCCCGGGTCCAGGTCTTACCATGAGTACTACGGTAATAGCTTATTCCCAATATGGGAAATTCGCTAAAAATACAAACATGATGTTTTTGGTTGCATTTATTGTATTGTAAGTACGATAAATGTGGAAGTAGATGGACTTTACATATTTCCTTTGTTAATTTGATAATCTATACTATTTTATATAACAATATCATGGTGTCTATATATATGTGTTATTCAACATAGTACAAACTACTAGGCAGACTACTGGGCTTAAATTTTACAAAATATAACTACTATACCAAGAATGGTAATACAGTAGGACTAACTTATTGCCACTTCAATATTTGTAGAGACTGGGATTTGTAAAGACTAATATCTAACAATTTGTTCAAATAAAATTAATTTTCAATTTTCAATAGGAATGTTATGTTTTAGTCTACCTGAGGAAACCATTAGTTAGCAACTACAAAATTTGAAGTTTTCATTTTGAAGGCATACTGACTATAAATAATTTATTTTCTTTGAATAATTACTAAGCAAAACTTTTTTCATTTTGTAAACGATTTCAGAAGCTAGGCTTCCATATGGATTTCCACAATATTAACAGAATTTGTTTTATCACATCAACATTCAGACTGGATTCGGAGACCATGATGCTTTTATTGTTAGATGGTGTGGTACATATTTTTTACTAGTAGGCCTACTTAACAGAAACACCGGTTTATTTCTTCGATGTGCTAGTTATTTAAGTTATTTTAATCATTTAACAACAGCTTTTATCAATAAGATAGACAAATAAATAAGGAAATAGTACGGCATTCTCATACCTAAAACCTCGCTTCTCGCGTCTATATTTACACGAATCATTGTCTTATTCTTACATTTTTTTACAAATCTAAGTTCATATTCGTAAAAATGTTTTAGACAAAAACGAGAATTGTTTTAAGATGTCTAATTTGACCGAAGAATAGCAGGAACCCATTGTTGCTTAAGCGGCGGATCACTTATAATCTTAAAACACTGTATGTATTATTCATTTTTAATTGAGCTTTCGTAATTATTCTTGCATCCAGGCACATCACATCTATCTGGCATGCTGTAGTAACAAGTTCAATGTCATTACTAATGATTAAGGGTAGTAGAAACGCGATTATGTACGTAGAGTACGCGACTCCTCCATTCACTGTAATGGTAAGACGGCCGCGCACCAAGACACGGATGCGACGTTGCCACTTTTCGCTTGCCGCGGCCTTGTAGTAGAGGAGGCTGTGATTAAATCCATCCCAGCTTATGATGGTGCAGACACTGAAATTTGAAATATTGGAATTAAGGCACTTGACTCATTTTCCAAAACCATTGTTGGACATACCTGTAAAATCCAGACTCCTTGTGCAAATATATTACACTATAACCATAACCATTCTATAACTTATAACTAAATTTATAAACTCTAGAAAGTAATGATGTTCCAGATGTCATTTTAGACCGAGTTTCTCAGATCATAGCCAGTTATGAAGCAGAGAAAGAATCTACAGTATGTGCTTGCAGTTACATCACAAAAGCATTAGTCATTCGCAACCATCCAGTCATGCGTCTCTGGATTGATAAGGTACAACTCATTTAATCTTTTACCTAACCCGCCATGTTAAACTTCCCTATCCCAAGCGTGATGTATATAACTTCGTTACTTCTCGAGTGATGTAAAGTTGAAAAAACTCACTCGGTGATGTAATGAAACCCATTTAAATAACATTGAGTGCTTAACTTAAAAAATATACCTCTATGGAGCCAACCACGTTCAATTCAGCTAGAAATCAGCTGTGCCCTTGAATTTTATTGTTATGTTTTGAAGAATTTTCCTAACCTAGCTTTTGTTTGTAAATAAACGTTACTGTTTGGAGATGAGTGAAATGGATAATGAAAAATATTGTTTGTAACCTCCTGTATATTGTCGGGTCAGGTAAAATCTTGTACGTTACACGTTACGCAAGAGCGTGTTTACATCACTTCGGTAAATTATGCACAAATTGCACAACATTCACCTGCGTGATGTAAAAACGCTCTTACTAAACTTGTAAGGTAAATAGCTATTACATATTACATATTTGTTTTGCTGTTTAATAATCCTTAGTCTATACTAGCATAACTTCAACATGGTTCATAATGAAATTAATATTTCTGATTATTATTTAGTTCTGTAAAAACTAGATTACTTCGTAATCCTTCTTTGGTATAGTTATCTGTGTCTTTTAAGGCCATTTAACAAATGTTTTAGTAAAATAATATGTAATTTCAATGATAAGGGTTTTTAATCAAGTCAGAATAAGAATTTCCCTATAAAATATTGCTTGAGAATCAAGTAAATACAGTAGGATCTCGTTAATCCGGCCCTATACGGGGATTAGTAGGGCCGGATTATAGAAAATGCCGGATTAGTGGAAATGCATCAGAAATTGAAGTAGTTTTACAATAAACAACATTTTTATTGCTTATGAAAACTATGATAACAATCATTTGAATTTCTGTACAGTATAGGCCTAATGAAATGTTGTTTAATGTATTATTGTGAAAAAGAAACAGTGATATGAAACAGCAAACAACCATACGGTACAATATCAGACAATGAACAAAGATAATCACTAAATACTGTACGTGTACAAAATGAAAATTACAGAACTGTAGGCCTACTGTACACTTTACATGTAAGACCTAATTAAACAACAGCAAAATAGTTTGTAATATTTTTCTGCTTCTTTGCATTAAAAGAAAGTTTTAAAACATTTTCCTGGAGCCTCTTTAGTGTCATAATATCGGAAGCCGAAGCACCGTTTTCTTCCGCCCAAGTTATTGCAGTTACGTAGGCACAGAGCGCCGAATCCGTGTTGACTGTGTGTGCAGCTGCAGCTGTCAACGTACTGGCTCCGTCCACTCTGCCCTCCTCATCCCCCTCCTCCACGTCACTGCCGTCTAGGAAATCTTCGATGATCTCATCGTCTGTCATGATATGACACTGCTCGTCGTCTGCTCCGTCTAACCAGGCGGTAACATCGGCTGATGTCAGATCTTCTGGATCGTCTACTAATTGTTCGGCTATTGCTTCTCTCAAGTCATTTAGCTCAGTATCTGTTGTTACTGTCGTTTTTTTTTATTGTCTTCTGTAATCCTCTAATAAATCAAGAGAAGGCCACAACTTTGCCCATGAACAAACAATTGTTTTTGTTGCAAGTTTTTCCCATGCGCTTGCAAGATTAAATACCATCGCCGCAGCAAACCTGCAGACTAAGCGAATTTCCATTTGACTGATTTGATTTACACTGAAATGTCTACTTACAAATATAACATTTATTCCCGATTTAAATAGAATTAGTTTAACAAGTACTTAGGTTTGCTGCATCAGGGAGGGTAAAACTGTTTTTTTTTGTAAAATGTTAATAGTTAGTAAGAAATAAAAACATTTTCCAAATTTGATCAAAATATGTTCATAAACAAGCAAACTACAAGAGTTTACTTATTCTCTCCATAAGAATAACATGGAAATTTTAAATTAAAAATTTTTTGGAATTTTCTCCGTAACCATTAGGCGCATAATAACGCTTCAATATACTAAATTATTTGTTTTTTTTAAGCTCTACAAAATGGTTTGGAAAGAAATTGCTAAATTTCATGTTTTTTGGGTCAAAAATGGGAAAAACCTATTTTTACCCCATAAAACCCCCCGTAAACCCCCGTTTCCATGGTCCGATCATGCTGGATCGCGAACTCGTTCGAATAAACGTACGTTTACACGTTTGTACCAAATTTCATCAAAATCGGATCATTTTTGCTCGAGTTATCGTGCTAACGGACACACACACACACATATATATATATATATATATATATATATATATAGATATTTATAAATATTACTAAGTAAATCAAAATGAAATGCCCAACACTAGAAAATGGAGAGTGGAGGAAGAGGCACAACCAGGAAGTAAGAGAAATTTACAAAAATGCAGACATCATCGGAGAAATAAGAAGTAGGTGACTAAAATGGGCAGGACACATACTAATAAGAGAAATAGTATAGTTAAATAGTATAGTATAGAAATAGTTCAGGTAGAAACCTGAAGAAAATTCTGAGGGGAACACTAGAGTGACGAAGACCCAGGGGACGACCAAAGACTAAATGGTGGAACCAGGTGCAACAAGACATGAGGCGGCTGGGAATTGGATAGGAGGATGCTGAAGAAAGAGACGGATGGAGGCGCTGTGTTGCTGAGGCCAAGTACCGACTGGGGTACAAATGGCCAGGGCAGTAAGTAAGTAAGTAAATCAAAATACCACAGCACCCTAAAAACATTTTATTTTATATTACTTACATGTTTCGGACATTAATGCCATGATCACAGTATAGTACATAACCTATACTGTGATCATGGCATTAATGTCCGAAACATATAAGTAATATAAAATAAAATGTTTTTAGGGTACTGTGGTATTTTGATTTACTTAGTAACATTTAAAGTATCCCTCATTGATGTATACAATAACAAAATATATAAATATATATATATATATGAATTTGAACGGGTGGTGTTTTTGGCCTGTAGGGACCTCAAAATGAAAAAAAAAATCGGTCCCGCGTCCAGGTCTTACCATGAGTACTACGGTAATAGCTTATTCCCTATATGGGAAATTCGCTAAAACAACATCTTTCAGGTTGGTTTCCTTAAGAGCTGTAACAACACTCCCCTCTTTTGACAAAACACTGTACAACAGGGTTTTTTTTGTAATTTGTTTTTATAGTTTGGACCACATTTTGGTCCATGGGCTGGAGTATCGGAGTTACATTTGGGGCAAAAATAAAGCAGTGATTTTTCCATCCCTACTTTTTAACTCATCCTCATCTGGATGTCCAAGACAATTACCGAGCAACAAATGGGCTTTTTGAGGCAGTTTCTGTAAACTTTTTTACTGATAGAACAAAAGTCTTATGAAACCATTCCGAAAAAAGAGTTTTTGTCATCCATTCCTTTGTTGAGTTTGTGTATGTAACTGGCAACTGTGTGTTTTTGATAGCCCTTGGCTTTTTGGCTTTCCCAATAACCAGCAATTCTAATTTATGCGTGCCACTAGCATTACAACACAGCATAAAAGTTACTCTATCTTTGGCCAACTTGCGACCAGGAGCACTAGTATTAAAGATACATTAATCTAACTGCCACAAACGGTTCCCACACTCTGCGAGGCTAAACTTTACTACTTCCTACGTCGTGGACCTGTTGTCATCTCTTTCCATAGCATTTTAGTATTTTAAATACATTAATCTAATTGCCACAAACATTTCCCTCACTCCGCACTGCTAAAAAGCATTTACTACTTCTTTCACCATTCTCTATGTCTTGGACACGTTTCCATCCCTTCTCATAGCACTTCAGTATTTCAACAGATACATACATTACATACATACTGTTACAATTGATTTCCAGTTCCCAAACTCAACACTGCTCCCCTTTACTACTTCATTCACCTCTTCCTACGTCGCGGACCTGTTTCCCTCCCTTACCATTGCATTTTAAGATTTCATAAACCTTAATCTAATCCTCATGAACAGTTCCCATACTCCGGACCGCTCACCTTTACTATTTCCTTCACCATTTCCTACATTTTAGGATTGCAGATACCTTACCATCCTTATGGAACAGCTGAAGCCACTTTTATAGTTAGTTCTTTCTGGTTTTCTGTAGATGTAGTGTTTTGTTTACAATTTGTTTCTATTATTTTAGGGTTAGTTTCTCATTATTTGTGTCTCACTGTTTGGTTATATAGCCAACGATAGTAATATATAGTAATATAGTACGGTAATATAGTGAACGAGTTATCGTTTACGATTTAATAGTATTATTTGGTTAAACGAGGTTTTAAATTACTGAAATAACAACAACAAAATTTTAAACAAATCACAACATCTACAGAAAACCGGACAGAACTAACAATAAAAATGGCTTCAGCTGTTCCATAAGGATGGGAAATCTAGCTTAATCTAATCCTCATAACAGATCCCACACTCCGCACTGCTAAGTTAGCCTTTACTACAATGTATCCAGTAAGCTTCAGTATAATCATTGCTCAATAGTAACAAGTGATGTTTTTGCTTTTGTACTGTATTTTGTAATTTCTAGTATACTGTGGGTAGATGCCTTTATGAACACATGTGTTACAACTTACAAGTATTTTGTTTATTTTTTCCTTGTTATTTAATTCAACCAACATGGTTACTTAGCAACCCATAAGACTAATGTAAAAAAATGTGACTTTCAATTTAATTTTTCTACGTAATTAGATTTTTGTTGGCAGTTCTAACTGCAGTAAACTCGTTTTTAGGCCAAAAATAAACTATTTACAACATATGAAGAAAATCGTCGGAGCCGTTTTCGAAATCTTTCTGCAAGCAAGCATACATACATACATACATACATACATACATACATACATACATACATACATACATACATACATACATACATACATACATACATACATACATACATACATACATACATACATACATACATACATACATACATACATACATACATACATACATACATACATACATACATACATACATACATACATACATACAAGCAAACATTGCTCGTATTAGAGTATAGGATAATATTTATTATTTGATTTGTTTGTAAATATTGTATTTGTTCTTAACTAAAACATGGTTGTAATTTAGAATGAATAAAAGCCATACTTTTGGTTTCCTAAGTCTTTCTTACAACAATTTTATTCATTCATTGATAAACTCAGTTAGTGCTACATTACAATGGAGAAATTCCTTAGACCAGACAAATTGCAAATTGACCCGGAATCTCCAACTGCCTCAGAGGAAAGGACGCACTGGTTACAAACATTCGAAGACTTTCTAACCATGACAGAATTCGTTGAAGACAAGGACAAACTGAAACTACTATCTCTTAATTCAATTTACATCAAACAAAAGAATGAAATATTCTCAAGATATTTAGTAATGACTAGAAAACAGCAACAAGGTGAGACTATTGACAAGTATGTGTCGGAACTGAAACTTTTTGAGCCAAGATTGCGTTTTTGAAGCTGTTAATGCGATTCAATACAGGGATCACTACATTCGTGATGCTTTTATTAATGGCTTAGCCTCGTCATACATACGCCAGAGACTATTTGAAAATAAAACTTTAGACCTAGATGAAGCAGTGAAACAGTGAAACAGTCTAGAGCTCTTGAAATGGCTCAAGCTCTAGAGCTCTTGAAATGGCTCAAGCTCAAGAAGAGAGCTATTAAAAATCTATGTACGGAATGCAAACTTGTGCAACGAATGAATTGGCAAAGCAAGCTTGTCAGTACGAATTCCAACTACAACAGAAGGAAGAAGCGACTGTGTCCGCTATTACATATGTTGATGGCAAGTGTTATTTTTGTGGGCATGACAGACACTCTAGAGATCGCTGTCCAGCCAGAGAAGCAACTTGTGGGAAATGTAACAAGACAGGGCATTATGCGAGAGTCTGTAAAAGTAATCCAACTCAACATTTTAAAGTAAAACAGAAGACGTCTAGTACATTAGCTGCACTAATAGCAACAACACATAGTACATCTGTATTGAAGGACTCTACAGTTGAAGCTAGAGTGAATGGCCTGAAAGCAAATTGCTTAATAGACACTGGGAGTACATCTAGCTTTGTAAACTTGAATTTTGTTCAGTTAAACAAAATTAAAATGTATAATGAAAGTGGACAAGTATCACTAGCTGCTTCTAATATGAAATCAAACGTCCACGGGTTTGTTAAAATCAACCTAAATCTGTTGAACCACAATTACAACAATTTTAAGTTGACTGTTCTTGAAGATCTTTGTACTGACGTGCTTATCGGACACGATATCATGAAACTCCACTCAAATATACAGGTTTGGTTTGGAGGTGAGAAACCTCCTCTGTTGGTGTGCTCCTGTGCCAAAGTTGAACCACCCAAACTATTCTGCAATTTAACTCCAGATTGTAAGCCAATAGCCACAAAATCACGACGTTACTCAGATGAAGATATGCAATTTATAAAACAAGAAATGGAAAGACTTACAGACTGAGGAGATCATTGAACCTAGTTCGTCACCTTGGCGTGCACAAGTGTTGGTTGTTAAAAACGACAAAGGGAAGAAGCGACTGTGTGTGGACTATTCGCAAACGATAAACAAATTTACTCTTTTAGACGCCTATCCCTTACCAAACATAGATGATCTAGTATCCACTGTAGCGACGAACAAGGTTTTTAGTGCCATTGATCTAAAGCAAGCATACTATCAAATACCAATTTCTGACGAAGAGAAGAAGTACACTGCTTTTGAGGCTGCTGGTCGTCTTTTTAAATTCAGAAGAATCCCATTTGGTGTAACCAACGGGGTGGCATGTTTTCAAAAGACCATGGACCAAATCATTAGAAAAGAAAAACTGAATGGAGTGTATGCCTATCTGGATGATTTGACCGTATATGGAAAGGATCAAAAGGATCAATCACTACCGCTTCTAACACTGTACCTACCTCCATGCAACCTAAGATAACTGCTCCTCCACCACAAACCTGATGTCCCCAAGTTTTCTGACTCTCAAAAATCGTCTGCAACAGCCCATTCCAAGGTAAACGAAATCTGCTTCTCTGATCCTGCATCTGGAACTTCTCTAGAACAACCCCTCGAATTTGATGTCAACACAAGTCTTGTGTCCAGTGATAATTTGAGCGAAAAAGGCAATCAGTGTTCTAGAAGTGTGGGTGATGAGTCTCTTATTCCTCTTCCATGTAGCTTAAACTTAACTTGTGCCAGATAACGCAAACCATTCTATATCATATCTATCTGAAGCCTCTCTGTTAAAAAACTTGATCCATGTGCCAATGGAAATTACTTAGAGTTAAATAGGTGTAACATTAGTAAATCATCTCTTGGAAAAGTTAATGACACAGCTAAAATAGAAATAAACAATTTAACTATTTTCCACCTAAACATTCAACACCTACCATCCAGAATGGATTCCTTGATGATAACTTTAGAAGAACTAAATCCAGATTTAATAGTTTTAAATGAACACAAAATGACTGAAACAGAGTTATCTCGTCTAAATCTGTCTAATTATCAAATTCACTCCTCATTTTCCAGGAAATTTGCAGGAGATGGTGGTGTTGTTATCCTTGGTAGAAATGATATAAAACATAAAACTATTAACTTTTCTGTAGAGAATGTAATATGTGAGAAGGAATTTGAATGCTGCTTAGCAGAATATAGATTCAATAAGTTTCAGTTTTTGCTGGTTGCTGTTTACCGCTCCCCCAGCACTAAAATTTGATTTTTTCTTGATTACCAAAAAAAAAGTTTAAACTTAACTATTTATTGACTTTATTGATAAAAAGATTTAAAAATATTGTAGTAGTTGGAGATATTAATATTAATGTTCTGGATGTGACAGAAAGTTGTAAGCTTCTTGATGTACTTGAAATGTTCAGCATGAGATATTTGGTTAACTTCCCTACGCGCATTGCATGTACATCAGAGACTGCATTGGACAACGTTCTCACCAATATTACAGATTATAAGCTAAAAGTAGATGGTATTAATACTCAAATTTCTGACCATGATGGATTGTTGGTATTTATTGAATGTGATAATGTCAAGGATGTAAATTCAAGTAAAAATAAACTAAATAAACATATATTAAGAGATGCTAGGGATTTTTCTAGTAAAATTAATGAGTAAAGAAAATTGGATGCATGTTTATATGGCTACAGTTGAAGAAAAGTATTCTGTTTTTTACAATATTTTTAAGTTCTATTTTGATCAATGTTTCCCTAAATTAAAAAAAAACGCTGTAAAATCAAATACAACCAAAAGTTAAAAAATGAAAAATCAAAGATTATTAGACTGAGTAAGACTGCTCGGGCTTGTAATGATAAAGATCTTTATGATAAGGTTAAGAGATTAAATAAGGAGTTCAGAAAGAAAATTATACATGCCAAAAGACAGTTTTACGCTAAAAAGGTTAGTAATGCTGAAAATGTATGTAAAGCTACTTGGAAATTACTTAATGCTGAAATCTCAAATAAGAAAAAGAATGTTAGCAATATTGAAATAGATTTTGATGGAATCTTGTACAGAGACCCTAAAGAGATAAGTTGTATTTTTAATGACTTTTTTAATAGCTTTGTTAATTCATCAATTATTCCTCAGCTAGACCAAAATGATAGTTTGCATGGGGGTGAGGCTTGTCCAAGCTTTCAGTGTCCTCCAACGGCTAAATTTAAATTGAATGCTGTATGTGATAATGATATATTAAGTATTCTAAACTCTTTCGATAATAAACTATCAACCGGTTACGATGAAATACCTATGACAGTATTAAAATATGCTGGTAAACAATTGGTCAAACCACTTGTATCAATCACTTGGTCAAACGGTAGTTCATATAATAAATTCCTCTTTCTTGAGTGGAATTTTCCCTGAAAATTAAAAGTTGCCAAAGTTAGTCCTCTCTATAAAAATGGAGATCCAAAAAATATAACAAATTACCGACCATTATCTTTACTGTCATCATTTTCTAAATTATATGAAAAAGTTGTTTATAACCAATTAGTAACTTATCTAGAAGAAAACCATTTGCATGATGATGAACAACATGGATTCAGACCAGGTAGATCTGTTATAACTGCAGCAGTAGATTTTATCGATTCAATAATAAACTCAATGGATAAAGGGGATAAAACAGTGGGCATATTTTTGGACCTGACTAAGGCCTTTGACAGTGTCTCACACCAGCTTCTTTTGGGGAAGATCCGAGATTTGGGTGCCGACAGCAGGTCATTGAAGTGGTTTCGATCCTATTTAACTCAGAGATCTCAGTATGTTGAAATGAAGCAATTAAAAAATAACGTTTTTTCAACCTCCTGCTCAAAGTCATCTATTATTCAACATGGGGTCCCACAGGGTTCGATTTTAGGACCTGTTTTATTTCTTTGTTACATCAAAGGAATGCCCGGGTCACTTCAAAACAATATATTTAATAAAATAAGTTTGTATGCAGACAATGCAAATTTAAAAGTAAGCAGTACATCTGTTTCCTGGTTTGGAATTAAAAAAATTGCTGTTGGTGCCCATAGTTTGGAATTTTATAACAAAAAACCTTCATGTGCTGGAAGAAAATTTTTGGAAGGGCTTCCAGAGTGGTTGAGGAAAATTGATGATTGTAAAAAATTTAAATCCCAGCTTAAAATATACTTAACACAAAAAGTACTGTATAATTTTGATGAACTGTACAGCTGATATTATGTTGTAAGTTTAAGTAGTTTAAGAATTTTGACGCCATTCAATGTACATACTTGTATGATTTATGAATAAAGTTATTTTCAATTCAATTTAATGGTTAAATAATAATTAAATAACCATAGAGGTTGAACAGTTTGAACTGCTTTGAAGATGACCATATAAACTAAGTCCAACACCTGTGATGTGACACAGTTTCACCCCAAAGACCATGATATTGTATTTAAGTGTTATTGTTGTGTGTATTTGTTGTAGTTACTGGATCTGCTCAATAGTGAAGTGGAGGAGGTGGCCCAGGCAGCAGCTGAAGGTTTTCTCCTGATCTTACAAGACTCAGACACCTCTGAGAGCCACTGTGTGGTCAGGCTGCTGTACAGACAACACCTGTTCTACCTAGTCCTGCCCAGGATAGTCCACAGTCAGGCAAAGCTACAACATCTCAAAGCCCTTGCCTACCTACTCCAAGTGGTGCCTCACACCGTCTACATGACTCATATCAAGGAGGTACCATCACCATTTTATGTTATTACTCAGCTCTTGTCAACATAGATAATTCAACATACACAAAGCATTTATAAATATTCTCAATAAACACAAGTTCATTAATGGGATTTGTCTGAAAAGGGATAGAGTTCTGCTAAACATTTGTTTTCTTGCTGTATCTAGCTAACATAATTGACTGAGCAACTTGTCAATCACTTCAAAACTATCTTTGGAACACCCTTTCACACTAAACAAACCTTGACAGTACTTGCTCTTGTTATGTCAGATTCTGCCTCTGCTGGTGAAGAGTCTGGACTTGGACAGCGAGAGTCTGCTACTGACTGTACTGACCACACTGTCTCACCTCCTGTCAGCCAGTGACTGCTTTTTGCAGAATCACGTTGACACGTTCATTCCACGATTCATACATCTTGCCCGTAGCAGTTTGTTCATGGTAATTTCTTATGATTTTGTTCTTTCTTAACTTTTTTCATTGTTTACACTTATGGCATTTTGAAACGAGGTACTGTACAGTGTAACACAAACTCTAACACAGTTGCTGCAGTTGGGCAATGGCCAGCTGCGGCTGATGATGGGAACAGCTTATTCGCTGCGTGGATGAGTGCACAAAAACTTTTAAATTTAGTTTAATTTAAATGAGAGGCATATTATAGCATGTATGCTTCAATTGATAATTGAATTGATTGATAATTGATTGTACTGTGTTTGAGTCGTTGTGGACATAGTTACAAGAACCCAACACATAGCAGCACTAAAGAACAACCTCAATTATGGAACTGTATCCATGTATCGTCCTTTATTGCAGAGTTGTACTATTTCTAAATTATTGTCAATATTTGTGTGATTATGGTTGGATGAAATTATATGAATAATTTATTATTATGAATAATTTCATCTGCAATAAAGGACGATACATGGATACAGTTGAGGAGTTTGAAATCTACAAGGCGTCAAAAGAACAACCACAGAATATATTAAATGAACAATTATCATTTGAATCAAACATCATCTACAACACCGCTATTCTTATACACAATAAACAGAAAACAAAGGAACGAGATAAGGATAACATTGGAGTAGGAGTAGGGTGTGTTGTTACCGTCGTCTGGTCGACCAATATTAAATGTTTCGTGTTTCCGTGTGTTATGTGTTTTATTGTTCTCTATTTATTATTAAACTTTTGACAAACTCCACTGCGAGGAATATGAAGACTACTTGACATTCTTCTGACCTGATGATGTGCTCCATTCGTAGCACGAAACAGCTGTAGTCTTACTAACTACAAAGGATTGTTTTGACAGTAACAAGGTAATTCAAACCACTATATAGTTCTTTATTTTATCAATAGTTTCAACTTAGGTTTTAATGGAAACCATGCCTAAGCCTTAAAATAATGAGAAAGCTGATCTATCAACCTTTACATCAGCTGTTGATTATGGTTCATCATCACAAGCCCTTCCTTGGTTGGATTACACAGATTTTTGAAAGGTTTACTGAATTAACGAAGAGGAAATTACCTTATGAGATTTAAGATATGCCTAGACTACATATAATAATTGTAATGAAAAATCTCCATATAACATGAAACTAACAGCTCCTGCTAACAGCTCTTGTCAAGGACTATTCCTAGGCTATGGGTTATGCTATTGTATTAATACAAATGCCAAGTTCAATTAATAGGAATATTTCTGTTTAGTCCTTGTAAGAACAAGCCTATTATAGCCAACCTGTTATCGTCAAGTGGGCCCACATATTTCTACTTTACAATTTTCAACATATTTAAATTAAAAAGCTGATTCCAGGATAAGTTGCTGAATAGGTACTGTTTTCTGCACCAACGTTTGTTGAAGCACAATTTTCCCTATGCATAATGACAAAGGACGATTTCTTGACATTGAAAAGTGTTATTCATAGAACAAGTAACTTATCACTATGGTTAACAGTTATAGCAATGTCGTTTTTACATTAAAAATAAAGAAAGGCAATAAACTCCAGTTTCAGTAGGCTAGGCTCTGTAACACAAAAAAGTATTTTTTTAATCATCGTTTTACAGTTTTATTGTTTTTAATAGTTGATATAAGACATCTATAAATGAATGTACATTAAAGAAATAAAATTAGCTTTTAAAATTTAGTTTGGTTGTATGTCCTTTGAACTTAATGAAATTTACATATAAGATATGTTTAAAAATAATGCAATATTTTTAAAATAAGTACTAAATATGATGGAACACCCAACTATTTTGGTTGTGTTCTTGTAATGTTAGGTTTATGATGCCAACAAATTAATAATTAAATACAATCTAGGGATAAGTTGTTTTCCAAGTAATGTTAGATACAATACTGACATTTTGTTGTTTGAGTGTTTGTTTAGTAAAAATGTAGTTGCAGTCAATTTTAATGGGCGTGGAATAAAGTAACGTCCTTGGAAAAGCAGCTAAAATTGAAGCTATAGCTACATTTCATTGTAGCAGTAGTTGTAGCTAGCTACATTTTAAAAGTAGCTTCCCCAACACTGTGTGTTTGTTTGTTTGTTTGAAGTCATGACAACACAAAAATCCTGATACACCAAACATATACTTCAGACCGACCATACATACTAAGAAATTAATAAAAATATGCACATTCTAGATGTTGAAAATAGAGGCGAAAAAATGAATGCAAAAGAAGACTTATATATTTATACACATATTACTGACAAAGACAATTTACTAAACTTGACACAAACTCAAAACGTCATATTCAATGAAATTATTAATCTTAAAGAAAAACACCTCCTTCCCTTAACATAAAAACTATCAACTGTTTTTTAAACAAGAAATATCTAATAATGTTTGTAAATAAAATAAACTAATAGGGTAGGCCTACTTTACTGTGATCATGGCATTAATGTCCAAAACACGTGTAAGTAATATAAAATAAAATGTTTTTAGGGTACTTTGGTATTTTAATTTACTTAGTAACATTTAAAGTAGCCCTCATTGGTGTATATAATAACAATGAATAAATATATATATATAGAAAAAAATTACAGAAAGAAATCGAATCTACATACAGAGGAAGAAAAATTACAATATAAACCTTACCTCTATCAACATAAAATTATTAGTCAAGATTAGACAACACAATAAAAACAAGTTGAACAAGTACTGCATTCATCATCAACCTACTACAATAATGAAGCTGAAGACCTTCGTCATGCAACTGAATAATCTTGACATCTGATCAGAACGTCATCATCAATATAACTAATAGAAATCATCGCAGCATTATTGAATCACCATCGCGCTAGCACGTTATTCATGTATTACTATTATATAAAAATCTAATGGTGTCTGTCTGTATGTGTATTACTAATAGGTGCAAAAACTACTGAACCAACTGGGCTTCAATTTTACAAAAATATAGCTACCATGCCAAGGACCATTATAGGACTATTCACACTTCGATACTGACCGTGGGTATTGCCCCTTTGGCTTTAAATGTTCTGAGGTGAGGATTTTAAAAGTAAATATTGATTGGTCTCCATGGCTGCAATGAGAATACTCACAATGTTTACATTTGCTTTGGCATTTCATTGTAAACAACAAGAACTGCCAAATTGCATTTTTCAGGGTCTGACTTAGGGGAGGTACGATTGAGGCATTAGTTCAAAATTCCTCTGTGAACAGCGCTGTAGTAGAGAGCATTTAGGCAATGAAGGTTTACTAATCGCAAAAATAGTTCTGTTCATAAAATAAAATCATAAATGCCTCAAATTCAATTTTTTAAATTTTTTATTATAAAATTACTATCATAACCTAACCAAACTAACCAAACTTGCTGATAATGAAATAATATAACAAAAGTTTATTAATAGAAAAAATAATTCTGTTCATTAAATAAAACTAGAAATTGCTCAATTAAATTTTTTTAATGACTTAATAATAAAATTAAACAGTCATAACCGAAACCAACCAAACTTGCTGATAATGAAAAAATCTTAGTCAAAAAGTTAGTGCCAACAGCGGGATTCGAACCCGGGACTCTCAGCATATCAGCCCGGCACGCTTACCACTAGACCATCGAGGCCGATGGCTGCAAACCGTATTGTTACGGTAATGGTGTTCCCTCAGCTAATGAGAAGCCCACAGCTGTCATCGTAAGCTCATCTATACCTCCCCTGAGTAAATACCCATTTTTCACAATTTAAGACAGCTGATCCCATGAAATTAAATATAATATTTCACAAAATTATGTGGTTGGTTTATTGACTCAAAAAATTTATCAAAGATCATTTATTAAAAAACTATGTCAATGATTATATAAAACAATAATATTCTAAAAGCGTTGCTGTATCAACTCAGGCTCTGCTTTCGATTTTTAAAGTGTCTTAAGTGTAAACAGTAAGAAAATTACAATGTATAGATGTTTTGTATGAAAACTTGCACATCACATTGTTTTTTATGTATATTTAGGTAAATTTAGTTATTGTGTTTTGCTTAAACCTATGCTTAAATTAAACTGAAGAATATCATCAATAACTAAATTGTATGTCGGTGATTTTTGTGTTCAAAAATGTGTTGTATATGTGTAACTATATTTAATTATCAAATGGTAATACAAAATACTCTTATTTTATCTTAACATAGCTTTCAGTTCACATTTACTTTATTATTTGTGTTTTGCCACACCAACTGATTAAATTAAACCAAGGAAAATATCATAAAACTAAGCAGTACATAGTGTTCTTTTTTTACTAAAATCAATGAAATATCTGTTACTATGTTAACTTAATGGTAAGTGTGAAAATGAAAAGGCAATGGACGATAGAACTGATTAAAAGAACTGGTTTGTATATTAAGTTGTTTGTTGTTTTTTTTGTAGAATAGAATCACAGATGCAATGAAACATACACTGCATTTGCTATTACATTTTTTAGTCCTTGATGCTTTGATAATCATATTAGTTTTGTCTGTTGTCTTTAATGCTAAATTATTTGTTTAAAAGTTATTATAGTATAGATATTAGTTTCATTAATATTTCAAAAGACTATTGATAAGGCACAACAATATTTATTAAGTTTATAACAGCTGACTTAGTTTTGCTAATGATTTATTGTGAGTGAAGAAACTGAAGATGGAAGGATTTGTGATTTAATAAGAAGAGTGAAGTTTAAAAAAATTTCATTTAAATTTAATAATTAATATTTTTGTAAATACAAAATTTAAATTTGAAATGTAAAAATAAAGGAAAAGGTATGTAATAATGGGAGATGAAGGTAAATCATGTATGTGACAGTTTTATTCAAAGATTTGGTCATATCAGCTATGAGGCTCATATCAGCCTACACAAGATTTAAAATTAATCAAAACCAAAATGGTGGTATCCACTATACAATACAATACAATATTCTTTATTGTTAATTTGTCAAGAATTACAATAGTGTCAATAC